TTTTTTTTTTTTTTTTTTTTTTTTTTTAATCAAATCTTTTGGATTTCCTGGACAACTATAAACATTGCAAAGGTCACAGGCTTGGTCTTTCCATACATGCAGTTGTTTGATAGCTCTGTTCCTTAGCATCCTTCTTCCATCAAAGGATGGCTAAGAAACCTGTCCATTTAAGATGGTCTCAGCAGGTGATACAATTGCTAACAAGGTATGGAAAGCCAGATTTAACTTGTGGTCTGCTGTTCCCTGTAGTGGGACTTTAAGGAGACAGCATGCTATTTCTTGGTACCTTACATTGTCCAGTATCAATCAAATAGTAGACCATGAAAGGAGGTCTCTCAATTTTGTCTATTCCCCGAAAAGTAGCGGCTGCCTTTTTAGATTGCTCACTCTCAAACACGGCATTTCTGCTCCATTCAGTTTCTTTAATCCTATCCATTTTTATTTTACAGGGCAAAAAACTGCTACGCTGCTCATTGTTTCCTGTTATTCCAACTCCAACTTGTTCAAATCCTGCTTCATTATTAAAAAAAGAGGAAAAAAAGTTTACATCTCATTTTGATCCTACAGGGAAAGGTATTTCTTTAACTACCATATTCCGAAGCTCCAGGTTAGCCACAAATGAGCGTTAATTTGCAGAGGGCACTAACTAGAAATTGTTGTATTTACTTAGCAGTTACTGAGGCCTGTACTGCTTTACACAGGCTCGATTTAATCTTCCCTATTAGGAATAAAACTGCCATTGCTAATTGAACTGAAGCAATTGATGCAGTCTAGTGGAAAAACAGCCTCGGGGAGAAGTGTCATATTTCAAGGGAAAACATTGCTGACTGATAGAAGAGCAGAAGAAGGTAGACAACTTGATCTTCCAGTCTGAAGGCTTTTTAAATCAAACATCTGTCAAAGGCAGATGTATGGTTTTGGGTGCCTTAAATAAAATCATGTCATGACACAGTGTGTGTATATATTTTTAAAGGAGAGTTGTGCACTAATAAATAGGACTTTTACTATACGAAGTGTTCATTTACAATCTTAATAGAGATTGTTATTGTTATTTTGATGATGGTATTCCCTGCTTTTGAGGGAGAAAATAGCTATATGTTAAGTTGTCTTAAATGCACAAGATCAGTGACACCATATTTTATTTTGGCAACTCAGTTATAGCAAGCTGAGAAGTTACAGAATTTTCAAACTAATGTTGACACTAAAATTATAATGCAGCTTAAAATTCAATAAATGCAACTTTCACACATCTTGAGGCTCTTATCTCAGGCTGGCTCTAGATTTGAGCTTGCGCTGATGCATCCTTTTATGATTTTTCACATTTGAAAGGTCTTTTCAACTATGATAAATGGCAAATATGATGATGTCCACAGCTTTACTTCATCAGATGTCATGAAAGATGCAGCTAACCTGTAAAGGGAAAAAAATCTGAGCTTTTCACTGGAATCATGTGAAAGAAAAGGAGTTGCTCTGATAGTATAGTGATGGGTGTACCTAGATTTTGTTACTACCACAAATTCATTATTTAACTAGTTACATTGTCTTGTGAAATGGATGCCAAAAGTTTATAATATACTAAAACTGAGATGTTAAATCAATAGAAATAAATTGGAGCTGAGGTTATTATAATTCCCTTTTATGTTATGTGCATTATAAGTGAAAGTCCATGCCTCTGCAGGCTTGGACTTCATACTTTCATGGAATATGAATGCTGATCTGGTGAAAGAATGGGCTTATAGATCAAGGCTTTCATTGACGCTAATGCTTCATTCAGTTCTCCATCCACAGAATCTAATGGATGGATGTATACTTCAAGCCATAATTGTTACCTTACATCAATGTAGACCAGGTGAAGGAGAATCTTGAGAAGCTGGATACCTTCAAGTCAGCAGGCCCAGACAGTTTACACCCCAGGGTACTTAACGGGCTGGCAGGCATCATAGCTCAGCCACTGGCATGGATTTTTGAGAACTCGTGGCAGTCAGGTAAAGTGGCCAACTATCAGAAGAAGGCCAGTGTGGTGCCTACCTTCAAGAAAGGGAGGAAAGTAGATCTGGGGAACTACAGGCCTATCAGCTTGACCTCTATCCTGGGGAAGGTCTTGGAAAAAATTATCAAAGGGACCATTCTTGACAAACTGGCTATGGCAACATCCTGAGGGATAGCCGGCACGGGATTGTTGCAGGTAGGTCTTGCCTGATCAATCTCATCTCCTATGACCAGGTGACATATTACCTGGACAAGGGAGAAGAGATTGACATCATATAATCTTGATTTTAAAAAAGCCTACGATCTGGTGTCCCACGATCATCTCATGGAAAAATTGGCCAACTGTGGCCTCAGCTACCTCACAGTCCAATGGCTGGGGAACTGGCCGTGAGTTGGGACTCAGAGAGTGGTAATAGATGGAAGTAAATCATAGTGGTGTGCCATGACCAGAGGGGAACCCCAGGGTTCCGTCCTGTACTTTTTAACATCTTTATTAATGATGTAGGCATTGGTATTGGAAGCAGACTGGCCAAGTTTGCCGATGACACCAAACTTTGGGGTAAAGCATCCACACCTAAAATTAGGATGGTGATCCAGCCCGATGTAAACAGGCTCAAAATGGGCGGACAAAAACCTGATGGTGTTCAACACCAAAAAATGCAAGGTACTCCACCTTTGGGCAGGGGGAAGGGTGGAAACCCGCAGCATGCTTATAGGCTTGGCAGTGCTACGCTTGCTAGCACCACGGCCGAAAGGGACTTGGGAGTCACGATTGCCCACAAGATGAATATGGGCCACCAATGTGATGTCGCAGCTGGCAACATACAGGCTGGGGAACTCCCCTCTTGTCAGCACAGAGGTGGAAAAGGATCTGGGAGTCATTATTGACTCCAAGATGAACATGAGTCGGCAATGTGGGGAGGCGGCTAGGAAGGCCAACTGCACCTTGTCGTGCATCCACAGATGCATCTCGAGCAGGTCCAAGGAGGTGATCCTCCCCCTCTATGCGGC